TCTGAGGATATTGGTTTTCTCCTTCTTACAAACAGGTTTTATTGGGTTTCGTCCGCAATTGTATTTCACATTATCTCATGGAGCAGGGACTCTGGGTGGGTGTCCCTGTGCAGTACTTGGCAGGGCATGTGGCCAGGAGAGACAGAGCAGTATAGCTAGTCAGGCCCAGAAGGGGAGAAGGCGGGCTGGGGGCTTCTTAAAACCTACTGAGGGGCTGGACGCAGTGTCTCACACCTGTAATTCCAGCACTTGGGGAGGCCAAGGCCAGAAGATCACCTGAGGACAGGAGTTTGAGACCAGCCTGACCAACATGGTGAAACCCCATCTCTACTAAAAATGCAAAACTTAGCCAGGCATGGTAGAGCACCTGTAGTCCCAGCTACTTGGGAGGCTGAGGCAGGAGAGTTGCTTGAGCCCAGGAGGTGGAGGCCAAGATCGGCCACTGCACTCTAGCCTGGACAACAACAACAAAAACCTACTGAGGCCACAGTTGGGGTTGGGGGTAGGAGGGCGTTAGAGTGGAGAAGGTCAGGCTTAGCCCCAACAACTCAGAATTCCACTTCCTTCCTTGTACATGCCTCACTTTCCCCACCCGGCCCGGGGCAGGTTGGAGGGTCTGAGGTCTGTTGGTCGGAGGGTCCTAGGGAAACCCAGCCACTTGGGAGCCTATTTAGCATCGTGTCCAGGTCCCCTTTCCCATGGGCCTCATTTCCCAGCACCGTCTCCACTGTCCCTGCCTCGTTCTTCGGGGAAAAAAATATATATTTTTCTTGTGTTAATACTTCCTGAAACTTTTGCGGATACAGAAACCACAAACTGATCAGCTGACAAAAGGGGGAAGAGGCAGGCAACCGGAAACCTTTGGGGACCAGTTCCCTCCAAGCCCAGGTTTCTTCTCCCCAGCACAGCTCGGCCCACAACGAGGACATGCCAGCAGAGACCCTTACCCTACACGTAACCGGATATGCCCTCGACCCCTTCCCGTACAGCCCTGAGTCCTGCGAAGGACCAAGGCAAGGGGAGCAAAGCTGCCACTCACAGACAGGTTGATTGGCAGCACTGAACAAGGTTAAGAAAAAAAAAAGATGAAAACACAGATAAACCCACAAACCCCGACGGGGAGACGATGTGCGGAGAGAGCGTGCTGGGAGCCTCAGTAACCCGCCTCCTCCTGGTAGTAAGGGGGATATTCAGGGACCTCCCGTAGTTGCTGGAGGGGGCCCAGCCAGCCACTGTGCCTTGCAGTCAGTACTTGGGATCATATACCTGCCAGCCCAGGCCAAGGACCTGACCGTTCTGGTTGGCACCCTGCATGTAGCCCATCTGCAAGGGACATGGAGGAGTTGTCACACTTGTTGGTTCCCAGCTTGGTGTTGTGGATGTGCCCCTGGGTCTCGGGAGCCATCATGCCTACCTGACTGGCACACTTGTTTGTATCCTTCCGGAGGCTGATGGTCCAGTGGTCCATGGGGACGGGTCGTAGAGATGCCTCCTTGCGTGGTAGGCGGTAGGAGGTCATGCCTGACTGGCTGGTGCATTTGTTGGTGTCCATCTGGAGCCCAGTGACTCGCTGGCCAGCCTTAAAGGCGGCTTCGTGGAAGTTTCGCTCCTGCTTCTCCGGGTACTTGATGCCAATGTCCACCCCGCGCTGCAGATCCTGAGTCTTGGCCTTCCCTCTCAGGGCGAGAAGAGACACCAGCACCTGTGTCGGGTTCCCACGCTCCAACAGGTTGCTGGCCTCGAATGGGTCCATGGGGTTCTTGCCGTAGTTGACCAGGGCCTTGATGAAGTTGGAGAGGTTTTCTAGCTGGCGCCAGTTCTGCATGGAGCAGTTGATCCTGGGGACTGAGCCCGGCTGTAGCTTGTTCATGAGCGTGCATAAGATAATTACGTCCTTCAGGCCCTTCCGGAAGTCGGGGCCGATGGAGAAGCTGGCAAGTTCCTCTATCCAGCTGCGAAGCTCTGCCTCCTTCTGGGGGTCATATTTGGACAGGAGCAGTTCTTGACCTCAGCCAACAGCTGGTACCAGCGGTCCTTGTTGAGCTGCGTGGAGCTTATGGCTGGGGAGCGCATCGGCGGGATGGGACCACCAGGCGGGCACGGGGCTGGGATGCGCTCCTCTCAGGAGATAGATAGATATACAGATATATATGGGGGCGGGAGAGAGAAGGGTTGTCACTCTGTCGCCCAGGCTGGAGTGGAGTGGCGTGATCTCGGCTCACTGCAACTTCTGACTTCCGGGTTCAAGTGATTCTCCTGCCTCAGCCTCCTGAATAGCTGGGATTACAGGCAGGCGATGCACAGCTAATATTTGTATTTTAGTAGAGTCGGGGTTTCACCATGTTGTTCCAGCTGGTCTTGAACATCTGACCTCAGGATCCGCCCGCCTCGGCCTTCCAAAGTGCTGGGATTACAGGCGTGAACCACTGCACTGGGCCCTTTCAGGATATTTTTATGTATTCTGGGCATGGTGGTTCACTGCTGTAATCCCAGCACTTTGGGATGCCAAGATGGGAGGATCACTTGAGTCCAGGAGTTTGAGACCAGCCTGGGCAACATAGCAAAACCAAGTCTCTACTAAAAAGAAAAAAAAAATTATTGGAGCATGGTGGCAAGCTCTTGTAATTCCAGCTACTTGGGAGGATGAGGCTGATGGATAGCTTGAGTACAGAAGTTCCACGCTATAGTGAGCTATGATCAGTCTACTGCGTTCCAGTCAGGGTGACAGAGTGAGAACCTATCTTTAACTCTATCTATCTATCTATCTATCTATCTATCTATCTATCTATCTAGTATTTTTATGTGGAGCTTAAGAAGGTTTTCTGTTATCTGGTCACAGGTTTTAGTTGGTACTTAAAACTACCAATCATTCTAGAAGCTACAGGGGTAGTTGGGAACACTTAGCACCCACCCCAATTTTTTTTTCTACCAATGCACTGATCTAGGACCATTCCTTTTTTTTTTTCTTTCTTTCTTTTTTTTTTTTTTAAAGACAATCTCACTTTGTTGCCCAGGCTGGAATGCAGTGGCAGGCAATCTCAGCTCACTGCAACCTTCGCCTCCTGGCTTCAAGTAATTCTTCTGCTTCAGCCTCCTGAGTAGCTGCGACTACAGGCGTGTGCCACCATGCCCAACTAATTTTTGTATTTTTAGTAGAGACAGGGTTTCACCATGTTGGCCAGGATGGTCTTCATCTCTTGACCTCATGATCCACTCGCCTTGGCCTCCGACAGTGCTGGAATTAAAGGTGTGAGCCACCATGCAGGGCCATTTTTGTATTTTTAGTCGAGATAGGGTTTCACCGTGTTGGGCCAGGTTGGTCTTGAACTCCTCGCCTCAAGTGATCCACTCGCCTCAGCCTCCCAAAGTGTTGGGATTACAGGCGTGAGCCACTGAACTGGCCTAATCACATCATTCTTAAACTACCTGACCTTTTGGAACTAACAACTGCGGCTAGGAATTTTCTATTTTGCCTCTCTATCCACAATACTGCATTATCTACATAAAATTGCAGCTCTTCCATTATATTGTGGAATGGCTGTAAAGTAGCTCAAGTGTCATCTGATACCCCATAGCACAACTAAACCCATGTCACTTAGCAACATTTCCCTTCTCTGCTCTCCCCCCTCCTGTCGGGAAGCCTGCTCTGAAACTGTGGAACTTGGGAGGGGTGAAGGAAAATCCAGGAATTTTCAAAGGTGGTAGATGGCTTTTGGTTTTGAAGAGTGGTTTTTGTTTTTCTTTCTTCCTCTTTTTCTTTATTAATGGATTAGAATGTATAAATTAGTTTACTGCACAATGGAAGATTCAGAACACAAACACGTTTAACTAGAATAGTATCCTTTAGCACTGGTGGTGCCGCACCTTTATTGCTAAAGACTTGCTGTTGGGAAATGCGGATACTTCCCTTCTTACACTTCGGGTTACAGCCCTGTCCAGTTAAGCAATATGCTACTGCACACTGGAGACCTGAATTTAAATGAGTTACAACTAACTTTTATATAGGGCAGCAAGGTCCATGAAAAGAAAAATAAATGAGTACAAATGATAAAAGAATCACTCCTTTCTTTTTTTTTCTTTTTTTCTTGAGATGGAGTCTCACTCTGTCACCTAGGCTGGAATGCAGTGGTGCAATCTCTACTCACTGCTACCTCCACCTCCTGGGTTCAAGTGATTCTCTTGCTTCAGCCTCCTGAGTAGCTGAGATTACAGACACCCACCATTATCCCTGGCTAATTGTTGTATTTTTGTAGAGACAGGATTTCACCATCTTGGCCAGGCCGGTCTTGAATGCCTGACTTCAGGTGATCCACCCATCTCAGCCTTCCAAAGTGCTGGGATTACAGGTATGAGCCATGGTGCCCGGCTCTTTCTTTCTTTTTTGAGTCAGAGTCTCGGTCTTTCACTCAGACTGGAGTGAAGTGGGGCCATCTCGGTTCACTGCAACCTCCACCTCCCTAGTTCAAGAGAGCATCTCCTTTCTGTATAACATCTGGTATAATTATAATTCTGAGGGGATAAAGCAAATAAACACCAGCCTATTTGGACAAAGCTAAGCTAAAATTACTGCAACACCTTGTTCTCATAACTGAGTTCTTTAAAAAATTAAGCTATAAAATATCTGTTGGTTAATAATTAAAATAGAAATTATAACAAATAGTCATATGTAATTAAATTCATAGTAAAATACTTGAATTTTTTTTTTGAGACAGAGTCTCTCTCTGGTTGCCCAGGCTGGAGTGCAATGGCGTGATCTCAGCTCACCGCAACCTCCACCTCCTGGGTTCAAGTGACTCTCCTGAGTAGCTGAGATTATAGGTGCCTGCCACCACACCTGGCTAATTTCTGTGTTTTAGTAGAGATGGGTTTCACCATGTTGGTCAGGCTGGTCTCACACTGCTGACCTCAAGTGATCAGTCTATCTCGGCCTCCCAAAGTGTTGGGATTACAGGTGCGAGCCACTGCACCTGGCCGATACTTGAATTTTTTTTTTTTAATTCAGGGGAAAGCGAGAATGCAGTCCACACTACCACATGTTGTACAGTCTAGTTTCCCACATTTGAAGTAATCGCGGGGGTCAACACATTGGAGTACAATGGATAAGCCTCGCCCTGGGAAAACCACTTTGTGATCACGGTATCTCCCTACCAGGTAACAATACTTGAATTTTTAACTGCTAAAGGCAGAAATGATTTATTTCCTTTTATCCAAAATGATTTTTATTTTTCATTTACCTTTTTTCAAAAGTATTTAATAATTGCAAACAGTGTTGGAAATAGATGCTCAGTGCCACAAAGAAAAATTAGCACTGAGAGGAAGGATCTTTCTGCAGTGGAATTCTTACTTCCTGGATGGCAGGAAGGGGACTCTCACTAGCCATCTTGCCGCAAGAGTACAAAGAACAAAAGGAATACACACAAACTTATTCCTTACCCATTTGGGGTCGTCTTTACTGTTGTGTCTGCTCTCCGTCAGCTGGAGTCAAACCTCACAATCTAAATTAAAATCCAATTAACTAACAACTTAAAACCTTTCTTTTTCTTTTTTTTTTTTTTTGAGATGGAGTTTGGCTCTTTTCACCCAGGCTGGAGTGCAATGGCACGATCTCGGCTCACCGCAACCTCTGCCTCCTGGGTTCAGGCAATTCTCCTGCCTCAGCCTCCTGTGTACCTGGGATTACAGGCACGCGCCACCATGCCCAGATAATTTTTTGTATTTTTAGTAGAGACGAGGTTTCACCATGTTGACCAGGATGATCTCGATCTCTTGACCTCGTGATCCACCCGCCTCGGCCTCCCAAAGTGCTGGGATTACAGGCTTGAGCCACCGTGCCTGGCCTTTAAAACTTTTCTAAACAGGTAAAAGCAATGGAGAGCTGGGACATATCTGCGAGCATGTCCAGCACAGATCTCTTGGTTAAAGTACAAGAACATAGAGTGTACTATGTACCGGTAAGCACGGCATGTCTAACAGCTACATAGGATAGGGCTTAACAAAGTTATTAGCATACTTATTATTTAACAAGAAAGAAAACTTTAAAAAGGAACTTTGCTACTTCTCACAACAGTATAGCCAATATCTATAAATAAATGCATGTTTTTATGATGTCAGGATGGATTTCAACATCATATTTTCTTTTTTCATACCTCCTTCACAGAAGAAAGTCATTTTTTAAAAAGCTACTTTAGGGATTTTGACGTGCTCTCGTGAGATTTGGGTCTTTTCCTAAGTTGGCGCTCACCAAGGAGAAAGCCATGTTCGGTTTGAGCACCAAGATCGTGAAACCCAATGGCGAGAAGCCAGACGAGTTCGAGTCCGGCATCTCCCAGGCTCTTCAGGAGCTGGAGATGAACTTGGACCTCAAGGCTCAGCCCAGGGAGCTGAATATTACAGCAGCCAAGGAAATTGAAGTGGGTGGTGGCTGGAAAGCTATCATAATCTTTGTTCCTGTTCTCAACTAAAATCTTTCCAGAAAATCCAAGTCCGGCTAATACACGAATTGGAGAAAAAGTTCAGTGGGAAGCATGTTGCCTTTATCACACAGAGGAGAATTCTGCCGAAGCCAACTCGAAAAAGCCGTATAAAAAATAAGCAAAAGCGTCCCAGGAGCCATACACTGACAGTCGTGCACGATGCAATCCTTGAGGACCTGGTCTTCCCAAGTGAAACTGGATGGCAGCTAGCTCAAAAGTGCTTCATTTGGACAAAGCACAGCATAACAATGTGGAACACAAGGTTGAAACTTTTTCTGGTGTCTGTAAGAAACTCACGGGCAAGGATGTTAATTTTGAATTCCCAGAGTTTCAATTGTAAACAGAATGACTAAATAAAAAATATATTCACAGGATAAAAAAAAAAAAAAAAAAAAAAAGGCTGGGCGCAGTGCCTCATGCCTGTAATCCTAGCACTTTGGGAGGCCGAGGTGGGTGGATCACCTGAGGTCAGGAGTTCAAGACCAGCCTGGCCATCATGGTGAAACCCCATCTTTAAAACGAAAAAAAAGCTGCTTTAAAAGTATATGTGTTGTGGCCGGGTGTGGTGGCTCATGCTGGTAATCCCAGCACTTTGGGAGGCTGAGGTGGATGTATCACCTGAGGTGAGAAGTTTGAGACCAGCCAGACCAACAAGGTAAAATCCTATCTCTACTAAAATAAAAAAATTAGCTGGGCATGGTGGCAGGTACCTGTAATCCCAGCAATTCTGGAGGCTGAAGCAGGAAAATCGCTTGAACCTGGGATGCAGGAGTTGCAGTGAGCCAAGATCATGCCATTGCACTCCAGCCAGGGCGATAGAGCAAGACTGTCTCGGAAAATAAAGTATGTGTTGTAATATGACCAGATACCAAAGTACCCACAATTTTCTGATATGTGCCCATTAAAAAAAGTTATCTTAGTGCTAAGGTATTGCCTAATTCCAGAAGAAAAAAAAGGTATCTACTTTTATACTGGTGACAATAGTGACATTCTCTTTAAATATTTGTAATTCTTGCATTCTGTGGAATAATACTCATTAGTTGAGTTTATATTGAAATGTAGAAATTCCTGTTTCAGAAATTTTACGTATTTAGTATTTGAAGGCTCCTGATTTTTGTGCTTTCTTATTACATCGTGTAAATACACAGTATATATGAGATTTTGCCAAGTTGAAAACTATAATTGTGGATTGCAAATAATGATAAACAAGTTAGGTGTAAAATGAGAAGGTTAGGTGTATTTATGAATATCTACTTGGGTAGATTCTGTTCACAGTCTCTAATTGCATGACTTAAAGTTCTCTCTCTCTCTCTCTTTTTTAATTGAGAAAAAGACAGGGCAGATGGGGGTATTACTATGTTGTCCAGGCTGTTCTTGAACTCCTGGCCTCAAGGGATCCTCCAGCCTTGGCCTCCCAAAGTGCTAGGACTACAAGCATGAGCTACCATGCCTGGCCTATGTCAGCTTTTTAAGAACCTTGAGATCAGGCCTGGCGTGGCGGCTCAAGCCTGTAATCCCAGCACTTTGGGAGGCTGAGGCAGGTGGATCACGAGGTCAAGAGATCGAGACCATCCTGGTCAACATGGTGAAACCCCATCTCTACTAAAAATACAAAAAATTAGCTGGGCATGGTGGTGTGTGCTTGTAATCCCAGGTACTCAGGAGGCTGAGGCAGGAGAATTGCCTGAACCCAGGAGGCGGAGGTTGTGATGAGCCGAGATCGCGCCATTGCACTCCAGCCTGGGTAACAAGAGCAAAACTCTGTCTCAAAATAAAAAAAGAAGCTTGAGATCAAAGAAATGAAAAATTTCTGAAAATTTTCATACTTAAATTGATGGTTAGAAACCTGCAACCAAGATTTAATAGCCTTGTTTTATAAAAATGTACCAAAACAATTAGAAAAACATATTTAACAGCTTTTAAACAAAACTTTCTCATAAATTATAGTTTAATATAATTATAAATTAATAAATGGCATTAAGTTACATAGATTATTCGTCACGTGACTGACCATCTGGTTTCTTCCAAAGGCTGCCACAACCGCTGCAGGCCAGGCTGAGGCGTGAAGAACCCCCGAATTCCTATATCTAGAAGGATTCGGTTGTCTCATCTAGGACATTTTAAGGAAACATATTCTCCCTATTTCCCTGCTCCTGACCAATTTACACAGATTGCAGGGAATCCATAGGATCTGGAGACTGAGAGAGAGGTGCTAAAAGGAAGAGTGACAAACATGGACTTTTAAAAACTGTTGAATCAGGTATTTTTTGGTTACAAGTAAAAGAAAGCTATCCTAACCCAATTTAAAAGGGGATGATCAGCCAGGGGCAGTGATGCATGCCTATAATTTCAACACTTTGAGAGGCCAAGGAGGGTGCATCACTTGAGTTCAGGAGTTGGAGACCAGGCCTGGCAACATAGCAAGACCCCAACTCCAAAAAAATTTAAAAATTAGTCAAGTGTGATAGTGCACACCCGTAGTCCCAGCTACTCTGGTGACTGAGGTAGAAGGATCATTTGAGCCTGGGAGGTTGATTACACTGAGCCATGATTACACCACTGCACTCCAGTCTGGGCCACAGAGCAAGACCTTGTCTCAAAAAATAAATAAAAATTAATTAATTAATTAAAAGAGGGTGGTAAGAAGTCCAGCGTGGAAGCTCACAGATCCCAAGTAGAAGTCTTAAATGTCAAAGTTGTCAGCTCACTACTCTCTCCACCTTTCTCTGGGATTGCATGGTTTTTGCATCTGTTGGCACATCCAGGCTATGGCTTATCTCTGATGACTGAATTTCTCCATTTACGAGCATATATACCAAAAAATGGCTGCCCCTCCTCACACTACCTGACTCTCCAGTTCTAGTGTCCTCCACTGAGCTACTGACTCAAAGTCGAAGTCTCTAGGTTCAAATTAGCAAGCAAAAGAATCGGATTGGTGCTCACGTAAGCAGCACATATACTAAAATTGGACCAATATGGAGAAGATTAACATAGTCACTGTGCAAGGATGACACCCAAATTTGTAAGGCATCCCATGTGAAGGGGGAAAAGCATCTGAATAGATTAGGTGTTCTTCTGTGATCAATCAGCTGTGGCTATGGAGACAAGGTCTAATGGTGGGTAGCATAACTGTCTCTGCCAGGGACTCTGTGATAGGACAAATTTTCTGAGATGGGGAAGTGGGTAGGGATAAGACATTTAGTATCTCAAATTCCTAGACATCAGATAAGTTGAAATGGACTTTCTGAGTTGGACTTTTTCAGGCTCTATTTCTCGAGTTGGAGGTTCACGCTCTGGAGGGAAGAAGGGTCAAACCACATCAGTTTATTCTCCTTATTCCAAAAAAAAAAAGGCGGGATTTTGGAGTGTGGCACATACAGCTTGGTTTATTAAAAATTAAAGTGGTCGCTGGGTGCAGTGGCTCACTCCTGTAATCCCAACAGTTTGGGAGGCCAAGGCAGGCAGATAATGAGGTTAGGAGTTCAAGACCAGCCTGGCCAACATAGTGAAACCCAGTCTCTACTAAAAATACAAAAAATTATCCAGGAATGGTGAGGCAGGAGAATTGCTTGAACCTGGGAGGTGGAGGTTGCAGTGAGCCAAGATCGAGCCATTGCACTCCATCCCAGGCGACAGAGCGAGACTCACTCACAAAAAAAAAAAAAAAATTGGAGTGATCTGGCCAGGCATGGTGGCTCATGCCTGTAATCTCAGCACTCTGGAGGGCCAAGGCAGGTGGATCACTTGAGGTCAGGAGTTCAAGAGCAGCCTGGCCAATATGGTGAAATCCCATCTGTACTAAAAATATAAAAATTAGCAGGGCATGGTGGGAGCACACATGTAATCCCAGCTACTCAGGAGGCTGAGGCAGGAGAAATGCTTGAACTCAGGAGGTGGAGGTTGCAGTGAGCCGAGATTGCGCCACTGCACTCCAGCCTGGTGACAGAGCGAGACTCCATCTTAAAACAAAACAAAACCAAAAATTAGCTGAATGTGGTGGTGCATGCCTCCTGTTTTCAAGCAGGAGAATTGCTTGAACCTGGGAGGTGGAGGTTGCAGTGAGTTGAGATCATACCACTGCACTCGAGCTTGGGTTGCAGAGTGAGACTGTCTCGAGAAAAACAAAAAAGAAAAGGAAAAATAGAAATGCTGTTATATACAAGCATACCTCTAATATATTGCAGATTCAATTTCAGACCACCCCACAATAAAGTGAATATTGCAATAAAGTGAATCAGACACACACTTAAAAAAAAAAAAAAAGATGTGCTTAATTAGCCAGCGATGCAAGTTCAAAAAAAGAGAAAGACTGATAAGGTTACTTATATCTGAATTTTTCTCGTTAGTCCCAACCACACCCCAGAATAAGCTTAGGTTTAGAACTAATTAATTAATTAATTAGTTAAAACATTTGCTCATTCAAAAAATATTCATTGAGAAATTATAAGGCAGAGTGTTAGGTCAAAGTATGAAAATCAACTCTTACACTGACATGAAATTTGCATAAGAAGTTTGGTGTAAAAATGAAAAAGTATGGAGATCAAAGCCAGCAATTCTTTGTATTTATTATTATTTTATTTTATTTCTAAGATAAGGCAAGAGAATGAGCCTTTATTTGATATGACTATGGGTTCCAAAACCGATATTTCCCAGTTGTTGAAGGAGGTGACCAGGAAGTCTAAACATGAGTAACTATGCAATACATATTAAAAATTCATTATGGGCCGGACATGGTGGCTCACGTCTGTAATCCCAGCACTTTGGGAGGCCGAGGTGGGTGGATCATGAGGTCAGGAGTTCAAGACCAGCCTGGCGAAGATGGTGAAACCCTGACTCTACTAAAAATACACACAAAAAATTAGACAGGCCGGGCGCGGTGGCACACGCCTGTAATCCCAGCACTTTGGGAGGCCGAGGCGGGTGGATCACAAGGTCGAGAGATCGAGACCATCCTGGTCAACATGGTGAAACTCTGTCTCTACTAAAAATACAAAAAAATTAGCTGGGCACGGTGGCGCGTGTCTGTAATCCCAGCCACTCAGGAGGCTGAGGCAGGAGAATTGCCTGAACCCAGGAGGTGAGGTTGCGGTGAGCCGTGATCGCGCCATTGCACTCCAGCCTGGGTAATGAGCGAAATTCCGCCTCAAAAAAAAAAAAAAAAAAAAAAAAATCAGCCCTGTGTGGTGGCAGGCACCTGTAATCCCAGCTACTTAGGAGGCTGAGACAGAGAATTGCTTCAACCCCAGAGGTCGAGGTTGCACTGAGCTGAGATTGAGCCACTGAACTCCAGCCTGGTAGACAGAGCCAGACTCCCTCTCAAAACAACAACAACAAAAATCATTATGGGTCATGCCTGTAATCCCAGCACTTTGGCAGGCCAAGGTGGGCTGAGTTCTAGATAGCTAGAACTCAGAAGTTCAAGACCAGCCTGGGCAACATGGAGAGAGCACATCTCTGCCCAAATTATAAAAATTAGTCAGGCATAGGCCGAGCGTGGTGGCTTACACCTGTAATCCTAGCACTTTGGGAGGCAGAGGCGGGCGGATCTCCTGAAACTCTGACTCTAGAAAGATACAAAAAATTAGCCAGGATTTGTGGCATGTGCCTGTAGTCCCAGCAACTCAGGAGGCTGAGGCAGAATTGCTTGAACCCTGGAGGCGAAGGTTGTGGTGAGCCTAGATGGCGCCACTGCACTCCAGCCTGGGTGACAGAGTGAGACAGAGTGAGACTGGGCAACAGAGTGAGACTCCATCTCCAAAAACAAAAACGAATTAGCTAGGCCTAGTGGCACAGGCCTGTAGTCGGTAGGGAGGATCATCTGAGCCTGTAGGAGGTTGAGGATGCAGTGAGCCATGTTCCTGAAACTGCACTCCAGCCTGGGTAACAAGAGAGACCCTGTCTCAAAAAAAAAATCATTATATTATAGAAGATTGCAGGCCAGGTGCAGTGGCTCATGCCTGTAATCCCAACACTTTGGGAGGCCAAGGTGGGCAAATCACTTGAGGTCAAGAGTTCCAGACCAGCTGGCCAACATGGTGAACCCTTACTCTATTAAAAATGCAAAAATTATAAGAACTCTAAGAAGAAAAAAAAACCAAAAACTCTAAGTAAAAAAAAAAAAGCAAAAATTACCTGGATATGGTGGTGGGTACCTGTAATCCCAGCTACTAGGGTGGTTGAGGCACAATAACCACTTGAACCCAGAGGAGGAGGTTGCAATGAGCTGAGATTGTGCCACTGCACTCCAGGGAACAAACAAAATCAGACTTCTAGAAAGGCACAGGGGCTCAAGCCTGCAATCTTAACATTTTGGGAGGCCAAGGTGAAAGAACTGCTTGAGGCAGGAGTTTGAGACCAGCCTGGGCAACAGAGTGAGATCCTGTTCTACAAAAATTATAAAATTAGCCAGGCATGACGACATGCTCCCTGATCCCTATTACTCAGGAGGATGAGACTGGAGGAGTTCGAGACTGCAGGGAGCTATGGTTGCACCACTGCACAATCCCAGCACTCTGGGAGGCCGAGGCGGGTGGATCACGAGGTCAAGAGATCGAGACCATCCTGGTCAACATGGTGAAACCTCGTCTGTACTAAAAATACAAAAAATTAGCTGGGCATGGTGGTATACGCCTGTAATCCCAGCTACTCAGGAGGTTGAGGCAGGAGAATTGCTTGAACCGTGGAGGCAGAGGTTGTGGTGAGCTGAGATCACGCCATTGCACTCCAGCCTGGGTAACAAGAGCAAAACTCCGTCTCAAAAAATAAATAAACAAACAAACAAATAAATAAATAAATAAAACTATCAAACGTCTCTCTATTGGATGAGGATGCAGGCAGACTAAGGAAGGGCTGCCTGCCTCCCCCTGATAGGGTATGAGAAGAGCCTGATTGATGCCTGTAGCAGTTTCTTCAGGCTGCTGTCACAAATTGCCACAAACTGGGTGGCTTATAACAACAGGAACTGATTAGCTCACAGTCCTGGAGGCCAGATGTCTGAAATCAAGATGTCTGGAGGCCGTGATCTCTCTGCAGCCCACAGGGGAGAATCCTTCTGTGCAGATTCCAGGTTCTGGTGTTGCCTGAAGGCCTCGGCAGTCCTTGCTTTATGGCAGCATGACTCAAATCTCTGTCTCCACATGACCGTCTTCCCTCTGCATCTGTGTAAACAAACTTCTGTCTTATTCCACAGACACTAGTCATAATGGATTTAGGGTCCACCCTAGTCCAGCATAACCTCATTTTAACTTGAGTACATTTGCAAATAGCCTATTCCAAAAACAGTCACATTCACAGGTTCCAGCTAAACATAAATGTTATGGGGACAGCATTTAACCCAGTGCTATGTCCAAACTTTGACTCTGTCACTGAATGAGGGTCCATCCTGAAAATGCCATTCAGTGGGAGTTGGAGGACATCTTTGATATCCATGGACAGGACTTACTTATTAATATTTTTCTTTCTTTGTTTAGCTTTTTTTTTTTTTTCTGAGACAGAGTCTGTACTCACAAGACGGAGTATAGTGGTATGATCTGGCTCACTGCAGCCTCCACCTTCTGGATTCAAGTGCTTTATTGTGCCTCAGCCTCCTGAGTAGCTGAGACTACAGGTGTGCACCACCACACCTGGCTATTTTTTGTATTTTTAATAGAGACGAGGTTTCCCATGTTTGGTCAGGCTGGTCTCGAACTTCTGGCCTCAAGTTATTTGCCCACCTTGGCCTCTCAATGTGCTGAGATTTCAGGTGTGAGCCACCAAACCCAGCCAATTTTTATCTTTTTTTTTTTTAAGACAGGAGTTTCCCTGTGTTGCCCTGGTCTCTAACTCCTGGGGTCAAGCATTTCTCCTGCTTCAGTTTCCCAAAGTGCTAAGATTATAGGCATGAGTCACTGTACCTTGCTCATGTTTTCTTTCTGCAAAGGAGGGTCTAACTACAAAAATGTTACTAGAACACTCCCTCTCCATCTTTTAGTGGTATCACTCTAATAACAAAAATATGTCATGGTAGAAAAATTTCAATCTTTAAAATAAGGCTAGTGTTTTCT